AAGCCAACATATAAACAATGACCACGGGTTGAAGTTTCATCTAAACTTCAACAATTAACAATTGATACATATTGTATAATATACTAAATTTAAGTATCTTGATAAAAAAAACTAAGTATCTTTACTAAGAATTTCTCACTAAAAAGTCCTAATCTTTACAACATTGGTCGAGAGTTCGTCAAAACTTGAGGATCATGAATGTGTATTGGATTTCCAAAGGACCTAAAATCTCAATCCCTTTCAGGTGTTAAATACCTCTGATCACAACCATAGGTGCCAAAGAAGAATGTAAAGAAGCCCAAAAAAATAAAAAAAGAATAGACCTGGCAATCGGGTCGGGTTGGGTAATTTCGGGTTGGGAATCTCGGGTTACGGGTCTTCACGGGTCGGGTCATATTGGGTTTGCTGATTCCGGGTCAAATATTGCCCCAACCCATCGGGTTTAGGTTCATTTCGGGTTATGAGCGTTCTCAGAAACAATATCAAATATGCTTCATAAATTTTTAAAGAACACAATTTTTTACATATGTGTGACAATAGTTTGCCTAGCACATGTTAATTAATAAATGCTCAACTCCTTCCATGCTAATGAAAAGAAATAAAAATTGCACAAATCGTGAAAAAACAATTACGAAAATAATACTAATAAAATAAACAAATGATGCTTGATTATCTTTACACTTCCAACTTGTCTTTCAAATCCATATGAATTTTTTTAAACATCTCACAAAAGTATGAGTGATTTTATCATTTTGAGAGTGACATATACAATGGAACGGGTCTAGCGGGTCGACCCAAAAACCAACCCAACCTGACCCAAAAACTACGGGTTAATCGGTTTCGGGTCATTCCGGTTTCGGGTTATAAAAACCTCAACCCATTCTCTATTTTTCGGGCGGGTTTGGGTCAGGTCAACGGGTCGGGTTCTCATTTGCCATGTCTAAAAGAGAACATAACCTCCAAGGCCGTGTACCTAAAAGCTGCCACCCATTATAATGTACCAGCGCCTGAATTTGACGGAAGCGATACAATGAACAGAATAAATCCGTATCGAGCTATGGTCCTGTCAAACGATAGACAACCCCAATGGTTGTCTGACGTTATGGGGGTAAAAGCGGGATCTCTATCCCAAGGGTGGGGGATAGGCAAGTAGCACTTTTAATATGAGTATTAGGCGAGATAAGATAGGTCTGGCGAAGTATCTGTATAATTTTGAGTCTACTATATATATACACACATGGTGATGACTGATGTACGTCAGGCGTATAGTATACGTCAGGTGATCTAGCCGTTAGATGTAGTTAGATTAGCTCCGACCGATCTCAACGGTCAATTTTTATTTTTCATTAAATCAAACTTCGGGTTAGGGTTTAGAAAATCGGTGACTGGGGTTTATCCATTGGAGGTTAGGGTATAGTATCATATCTCAAACTCGATTTAATTCATGGTCTATATATAGATATCTCACTAGTAGTACCTAACGTATAGTATACGCCTGACCTACGCAAGTCTGACCCATATATATATATACAACCTAGTGTGCGCCAGGAGTACGCTATACTCTTGCGTTCACACTACCATACAACCATTGAGTTTTACTATTTAGGCTCCGAAGTTTTTTGGGGCATGATATTATACCCTAACCTCAAATAGGTGAACTCCAATCCCTAATTCTCTAACCTCTAATTTATGCAAATACTTTGTCATACCTATCTTCTATCGTATCTTGAGTAAAATCAAAAGATAGTATACCTTGATATTATATATATATGTATATATGTGTGTATGGGTCAGACTGGCGTACGTCAGGCGTATACTATACGTCAGGTACTACTAGTGAGATATCTCTATCTAGACCATGAATTAAATCGAGTTTGGGGTATGATACTATACCCTAACCTCCAATGGATATATATACATATGTGTGTGTGGTTCAGGTTGGCGTACGCTAAATATTAGTATTTTGGTTGACAAATTTTGACATAAGTTCTAAATGCGACGTGACAGCGGCATAATTTATTATTAGAAAACCCAAGCATCAGAAGCGAGTGTGCTAAATATTGGAAATTTCTAATATAGACATACTACAAACTCTTTTATGAATCAAGAACACAAAATATTTAGAAGATCCAAAATGATTTAAACATATAAATAAGTTAATTAATATAAATTCTGAAATAAATCTCTCTGGCCAACGGGCCAGGTAAAAAGCTAGTTTTTTTTTTACAAAAGATAATCCTATATTGCTACGGTGACATGCATGTCACCGTGACATGGACTTTTCGGTCGACCGAATGGACTAATTCATGTATGTGGGGTTCCGAGAAGCGGTCGACCTCTTACATAATACGGTCGACCGCTTTGTTGGTCTAACAGAATGAAAGGTCGACCCAAATATCTCATAGGCCGACCCTTGTGCACCTAACAGGTCGACCGCATTATGAAGAGGTCGACCGCCTTCACACCGTATCCGTATTGGATATGGATTCCAACACCAGAAAGGTTCCACAATTGGACAAGGAAACGAATTGGGTCGACCCATTCACGTCCTAAATCTCTATAAATACGAATAGAAGTCCCCTTCAACACCACCAAGTCTGAATTGGATTTTTTTCCGACTTAGAGCCTTTGTGAAGAAGATCGTTCGCGGTTGCTGTTGTACGTGTTGGAAGTGGTCGACCAGGTCTAAGGTGAGGTCGACCTAATGTAGCATTCGCCGTCTTCTTTTTTAATGCGTGATTTCCACCGGCTAACTTGATACACTGTTGGGTGCAGAACTCAATTCGGTCGACCGTGACGTCAACTAGGTCGACCTGACGAGACAATTCTTCGTATTTGAATTTAGGCCACAACACTTGGACTTCTGTACTTGCGAGGTAACCCAATTGGTCGACCTAATGGGTTTCAAGGTCGACCGTATATGTTTTTTTGGTTATTCAACCTGAATGTCGACTTTGGCTTTGTTTGTATGACTATGTTGTGCTTGAAAAGGTCGACCGCGCCAGATATCTGGTCGACCTATCCTTTTTTCGGTTTAATTTTGAACTTACTTTTTGTTGGTAATTGTTATTTTCCTGCTGGATAGGTCGACCTAGGAATAACAGAGGTCGACCTGACGAGTTGTGGTAGTCACTATTTGTCTTCCAGGTCGACCTAATACTTTGTTAGGTCGACCACGTCTTTGTTTTTTGGTCAATTGTAGAAATTTGTACTTGAATTATGATTTTAATTTTTCTTTAAATTGTTTAGACGATGACGCATGATGAGAAACTGCATCAAGATTTGGGTGAAATCATGAAATTGTTGAAAGCCACACAAGAGAAGCTGGTGGTGTGTCAAACACAAGTCGAGCAATTGTCAGTTCGACTGACAGATATGACTGGGATGATGCATGACGGGTTTGAGAGGCTAGAAGGTGCTATCAAAGATATAAGTGCAGAACGAATGGAGAATGGCGGAAGAAATGGTAAAGGAAAGAAATTTGACTTTGGTAAAGAGGAGGAAGACCATGATGACTCTGAAAATTGCTACCAGAGCATAGACGATTTATTGAAAGAGCACATTTTAAAGGTATCCAAGTATATTCATATGTGATTGAAGATATTAGTATTACTATCATTAGTGCTAATCTGTTTTGTTTATATGTTTGACAGAGTGAAACAAAGAATGACCGCAAGGGTTCCTCTCCTAATTACAAGAGACCGCGATATGAAAGTGACTCCTACACCACTCCACAGAAGGATCACTTTGTAAGAAAGGGATTATTTAGTGATGATAGCGATGAAGATGAATCTAAGAGTCCTTTCGTAAAGCACGGGGTAAGTTTACGTTACATATTCATCTATAATGTGTGTTTGTGTTCATATGTTACTTTAATTTTAACTATGATTTTTAGGTCATGAAAGTGGAGGGTCTAGAAGGATTCACCAAAAATCTTCAAAATCCAGTTGAAGACTTGTATTATGTTGTTACTAAAGAGAAGGTTGGGGACAAGAATTGGGACGAGTAAGACATTTTTTTAGTACGTGTGGTCGACCGTCTTTCCTATTAGGTCGACCGTTTGTCCAATAAGGTCGACCTGTACGTTGCAAATCACAATTGACATTTCTGTTATCTTGATTTTTGCAGTTTGACCGTTGTGGACTTTTTTCTGAAAACGTGCAACGACATTATTTGAGTTCGGTCATTAGCGAGAAAAGCTGGGTTTGCTCATCAGTAAGTACTATACTACTACGACTTTCGTATGAATTGTGCACTATTTATGTTACGATTTACGATGATTTTGTGTTTGATTGTTGGATGGTAGGTAGTGGATTTGTGTGCAAGGGCACTAACAATGTCTGAAAAACATGATGTGAAAGAGCCAAATGTGTGGTATTTTCCAAATATGTTTTCGGTAAGAGCCGTAATGTCAAATTATTTGTCATAACCTAGTTATTTATATTGTACCATGTCAATTCATCTCAACTAAAACATGGTGCAGAAAATGGTACGCGCTAACATGAAGACCAGACAAATTCGTAACAAGTTGATGAATGATGGCGTGGACTTTGTGCCGAATGTCAGTGCATGCCAGAAGGTTAGTCTAGTCAATGTCCCTATATCATTAAATTTCGAAAGTGCATTTGTTTGTATTCGCTGTTTATAACATATAGTGAGTGTTTCGTTGCTAGATATTTATGCCAGTTCTTGACGATGAAGCACGTCATTGGTTTCTGTATCTCGTCAATGTCCAGCAAAAAACTGCATTTTTGCTTGACAGTCTACCTTCAACTAGTGAGGCGAATCGTAGGCGTAAATCAGAACTATGCAAGAAATTGGTAAGTGTTTCCTATAATTTTCTGACTACTAAGCGTTACGTAGTATGCTAGAAGCTTAAAATATTCGTTATTTGTGTGTAGTTGTCCACTTTGGATGATATTTTGAAACCAGAGCGCACGAGCAATGTAGTAGTACCAAATTTTGGAGATTTCAATTTTGATGAGCTACCAGTTCAACGGCAAAGGAATAGTACTGAGTGTGGTGTGCACGTCATGCAGTGGATGCGCTATGGATCCAAGGATCTTGATAGAGTGGTGAGTATATCGTCAAACAAATAACTAATATAATTTACACTTTTTTTAGTTGTAACGAAATCTTACATGGCATAATGCAGATAGGAGAAGAACACAAATTACCGGCTCGAAAAGAGATTCTATGGTATCTGGCTACACATTTTGAAAACCGTGCACGAGAAAATCTTTTCAAGCATGTAGTAGATGAATGCATGGAACGAGGCAAAGAGAGACAGAGTTCAAAGAAAAAAGCAAAGAAATGAAGTCGTTAAGTTACAATGTTGCATTATTTGGACCATACATTTAATTTGTATTTGCGAGATCGTGTCATTTTGGATCTTGAATGTTTATCGTTTATTAGATTTGTTATACAATTATGGATGTGACTGAATTTACGATTTCAATTGTCTAGAACAAGTGGTCGACCACATAGTCAAAGCGGGCATACCCAAAGGCAGAGCACAGGTCGACCTCGTGAAGCTTAAGGTCGACCTATGATACCGTAGCAAAGTCAAAAACCATGTAAAATAAGTATGGATTCTCGTCTGTTTGCCCTTAATAAAGTACGGTCGACCATTCTTGTCAAGAGGTCGACCTTTGCTCACATTTATAATCAATGGTCGAACATTTCAGTAAAGAGGTCGACCTGTTTCACATTTAAAAACAACGGTCGACCATTTGTGTAAAGAGGTCGACCTGTTTCACATTTACCCAAGACGGTCGACCATTTGTGCAAAGAGGTCGACCGTGATGATTCCTGTCCTTGTACAATTAGGATTTTGTGTACTTGTCCTTGTCGAATTATGATTTTATATATCTTGAACCAATTCGATAAGGAATTCGTCTAAATTATCTATAAATAGATGGGAGTCTTCAGACATTAATCGTACCACGAAATCTTACAATTTGTTGGAGTGAAGTTATAATCTCATCGCTCTTATTGTGATCGGGTGTTGGTGGCGGTTTATTTTTATTCCGGTAGACCGTAACAATAAGTGGTCGACCTCATTGTTAAGGTATGTCTCGTATATGCTTGTTAATGGTTGTATGTGGTTAAATTTTTCCCACCATCCGGTCGACCACCCCCATCATCCGGTCGACCGTACTTTCGTAATTATAGGATTAGGTCGACCTTTCAGTAAATTTAGGTCTACCGCATGTTTGTTATTTAGTAATAAGGTCGACCGTACAGTTCATTCAGGTCGACCTGACGAGAGCTAATTGTGTATGTTTTGACATTAAGTTCGTATTCCGATCGTTGCAGGATGGATAACAGAGATGATACAGATGATAGAGATGATGATGAGGTTAACTTCGATGAGGAACCTAATGATGCTCGAGAAGGAGCTATGGATAATTCAGATGATACAGATAATACCGATGATGAAGTGGTTGGAGATGATTATGAAACCGAGGGTGCAGAAGAAGAATTTATGGATGATGAAGAAGCTACTGAATATGAACAACAAATTCTTTCCATGGAGTTCCAAACATTACAAGAAGCAGAGAAATTTTACGATTCCTATGCTAAAGAGAAAGGATTTAGCGTTCGACGTAGAGATCTTCGGAGGAGTCGTCGAGGAGTAGCAATTGGGAGGACAATGGTATGTTCGAGAGAGGGGACTAAAGATAAGATGCATATAGATAAAGAAGGTCGGACTCGACAACATCGTAAGATGACAAGACATCTTGCAAGGCATCGTATACTGTACGCTTTGATCGGAATAAGAAAATGTGGGTTGTTTCTAAGTTTGAGAGGAAGCACTCACATCGTTGCTGCAATGAAGAAGAAACTCAATTCCTTCGGTCTCATTGAAATGTGAGTGAAGGAGACAAGGCTCTGGCGATAGGGATGCGACAGTCAGGAATAAAACAACGCAACATAGTTCAGTTCATGAAGAATAAAGTTGGAGGATATGAGAATCTGGGATACACTCCAAAGGATTTGGACAATGTTGTTCAGCAATCCCGAACAGTTGACGACGATCTAATATGAGATGTTAACCGAACATTGGGTTACTTACAAAGTAAACATACCTCTGATGCGGGCAGCTTCTTCAAGTACACAACCAACGATGAAGGTGAATTAGGCAATCTCTTCTGGTCGGACTCCACATCTAGAGCAGATTACCATTTTTTTTTAGGGATGTCTTGGCGTTCGATGCATGCTACAAGCGCTACAAGTACAATCGACCATTTGTTATGATGGTTGGTGTAAATCACCACCACCGTAACATCATATATGGTTTTGCCCAGTTGGATAACGAGACAATCCCCAACTATGTTTGGTTGTTGAATACTTTTCTGGAGTGTATGAACTCTAAGATGCCCACTTCAGTGATCACAGACGGAGACAAGTCTATGCGTGGTGCCATTGCTACTGTTCTGGTTGGAGTGCCTCACCGTCTTTGTATTTGGCATATTGAGACAAATGCGACAACGGCCGTTCATAATAAGGAGTTCGTTAGCGCATTCACTTACTTGGCGAAAGCACGAATATCGATTGAGGAGTTTGAGAGGCGTTGGGAGCTTTTGATTAGTCAGCATGGCTTGTCTGCAAATAAGTGGTTGCAGGATTTGTACGCTGACAAATTGCTGTGGGCAGAGGCATACTTGAAGGATATTTATTTCGGTGGACTCCAATCAACCTCGCGATGTGAGTCATGTAACCATTGGATAAATGGGTATGTGGGAACTCAATACAGCTTGCAACGTTTTGTTCAGGGCATTGATAAAGCACTGGAGGGGATGCGTTTCACGGAGGCGCAGGATGATTATTCTTCTAGGCACACGAGGTTGGTCTGCAAGCATGCCCTGCGCAGTTGGGAAATGCAAGCTGAAAGTATCTACACTCATCGTACATTTGCTATCTTCAAGACTGAACTAGAGAATGAAGCTTCTTATGTATTAGCGGAGAGAAGAAATGAATCAGATGGGACAGAGACATTCATACTGAAGAACTACAGGAACCCAGATCGGATAAGGCGGTTAACATTTACTACGTCCACTCAAGATCTAAAATGCGAGTGTGCATTATTTGAATCTAAGGGGTTTCCATGCAGACACATGCTTACAGTAATAAAAAAATATGGGATACACCGCACTACCCTCGTCTTGGTTCAAGCTTCGATGGACCCAAAATGCGAAGACACTAAATCGTCATCCTAGAGTTGGAGGTGATGTGGGAGAGAGAGTTGGTCGACTGATAAGACATGGAGGATTGGCTCTAAAGTGTAAGCGTTTATGTGACATCGCGTGTGGTAGTGAATCTGCTTTTAATCATGTCTCTAAGACGTTGAGTTCGCGAAGGAGAGAGAAGACAACACCACACCGGCAAACCCTCCAGCACCCCTTCGAAGTGTGAAAGATCCAAAAATTGGGAAGACCAAGGGGACATTCAAGTCAGCACGCACTGCATCGGGCAAAAGTTTAAGAAAGTGTTCGAAATGTGGGAAATATGGTCATTTTCGCCCCAAGTGCCCGAAACAAAGTCCCAAAAAAGGATCTTAAATTTCTTCTATTGTTTTTTAGGAGTTTATTTATTTTTTAATAACTGTGATTGCATTGTATTTTCTTCGAATTATCTTAATAATTTATGAGTTAATTGATTGTGGGTTGAAATAAACAATTTGTCATAAACGGTCGACCTCATAACATTGCCGGTTGACCGGACCATACGCAGTCGGCCGAACAAGTTGGTGCGGTCGACCGCGCATTTAATTCGGCCGACCAAACCGGTTGACCTGACCAGACCATCCACCCAAACCTCCCTCCATCCTCTATTTAAGAAACCCTCCCCCACTCATTCTACACCACAATCAGAACCCTATCCCACCACATCTACTCATTCTTCCTCTCCTTTCCTTTCTTCATCTTCTTCTCCCATTTCCAAAAACTCCATTTTCCAAAAACTCAAAGAAACCTTCATCCTCATCACTTAGAAGAAGAACAAGGTAATGCTTTTCAGTCTTCTTTTTCATTTGAGTTGATTCTTGTCTTCTTCCTTTTGTTTTCAAAAAATCTAAAGATGGAAAAGAGGGGTTTTTGCTTCTGTTCGTCAGAAGCGGTCGACCTGTTCATCATCGTGGTCGACCGCAACTGGCTTGTAAGCTATTGTACTTTTGTTTTATGGACTGAGGTCGACCTATGATGCTACTGAGGTCGACCTGTGATGTTTTTCTACTATTTCTGGCCTTGTTATTTAGATCTGTAGCTTGAAAAGAGGGATTTTCCCTTCTGTACGCCAGGTGCGGTCGACCTTCTCATATTCGTGGTCGACCGCATCTGGCTTTCAATCGCTTTTTCCTTTTGTTTTATAGACTGAGGTCGACCTATGATGATATTGAGGTCGACCTGTGATGTTTTTCTACCATATTCTCTACATCTATAGCGCTTGAAAATAAGGATTTTGTCCTTCTGTTTGCCAGATGAGGTCGACCTTTTAATATTCGTGGTCGACCGCATCTGGCTTTCAATCGAATTTTCCTTTTGTTTTATAGACTGAGGTCGACCTATGATGCTATTGAGGTCGACCTGTGATGTTTTTCTACGATATTATTTACATCTATAGCTTGAAAAGAAGGATTTTCTCCTTCTGTTTGCCAGATGAGGTCGACCGTTTCATATTTGTGGTCGACCGCATCTGGCTTTCAATCTATTTTATTTCTGTTGTATTTGTGCGAAACTAACACTGGTCGACCTCTTCTAATTATGAGGTCGACCGGACCTGTTTTGCACTCAATTGGTACCATCATTTGGGCCATTTTCTACTCGTTTCAATTTAGCCGAGGTCGACCTATGAAGGCAAAAGTGCGAGTTATTGTCCCATTGTCTTTGAATTCGTGCGAAACTAACACTGGTCGACCTCTTCTAATTATGAGGTCGACCGGACCTGTTTTGCACTCAATTGGTACAATCATTTGGGCCATTTTATACTCGTTTCAATTTAGCCGAGGTCGACCTATGATGGTTCTGAGGTCGACCTATGAAGGCAAAAATGCGAGTTATTGTCCCATTGTCTTTGAATTCGTGCGAAACTAAAACTGGTCGACCTCTTCTAATTATGAGGTCGACCGGATCTGTTTTGCACTCAATTGGTACCATCATTTGGGCCATTTTGTACTCGTTTCAATTTAGCCGAGGTCGACCTATGATGGTTCTGAGGTCGACCTATGAAGGCAAAAGTGCGAGTTATTGTCCCATTGTCTTTGAATTTGTGCGAAACTAAAACTGGTCGACCTCTTCTAATTATGAGGTCGACCGGATCTGTTTTGCACTCAATTGGTACCATCATTTGGGCCATTTTGTACTCGTTTCAATTTAGCCGAGGTCGACCTATGATGGTTCTGAGGTCGACCTATGAAAGCAATTTTGTACTTGAATTGTTATGGGTTTATATCGACCCATTCTCGTTTTAAATTAGATGAGGTCGACCTATGCTTCTTCTGAGGTCGACCGGTTCTCGTTTTAAACTAACTGAGGTCGACCTGTGATTCTTCTGAGGTCGACCCATTGTCGTTTTAAATTAATTGTGGTCGACCGCTTTATGGAGTGGTCGACCGCGTATTGTTCATTTCGAAAATTGGACTAATGTGTATTCTTGCTTGTTTGATCGCAGGATGTTTGGCGGCAGAAAGAAAAGAAAGGCACAAAAAGCTGCTGCCTCAAGTTCGGAATGGGAAGAGTTCAATCCCAATATGTTCCAGACGAAGGAGCAAAGTGAGAACTACGAAGAGAAGAGCATGCACAACCGCAGGGTGGCTCCGGGAAGGCCATTGACGATGGATGCGTATTCTCATTTCGAGAATTACGGGTTTCTGGGACCCTTCATCGACCAGGAGTGGCTGAAGGTCATATCACTCAATGTACCATACTACCCAAAAATGGTACAATACTTCTACAACAACATCGTCTACGAGCGCAATGCAAATGGATCCATTCACGCATTCAAATCCTATGTGAATGGGGTGGCAATGCGCATCAGCAAGAATGTGTTGGCGCAAGTACTGGAGGCTCCAAACGATGGGAGGAGAATCAATTCTTACGGTGCTTGGAATGAAACGCATTTCACGAGAGCCAAGCAAATCCAGACGGTATGTGGTCTTGATGAAGAGGAAGATGCTTAGGGGCGCAATAGGCCATCGAGTAACCACCTGACAGTTCAAGCCAGAGTTCTTCACCACATGCTCTCCTACAACATTCTGCCAAAGGGTGGACATCGGGAGACAGTCACCTACTTCGACATGGAGCTCCTCACCAACCTACTGTTAAACGAGAAGGTGAACTTGTCATACTTGATCTTTAACCACATGCTTACTGCTGCAGAGAGTTCAAACAGGAATCTTCCCTATGGGATGATCCTCACTGTGATATTTGAGCATTTTAATGTGAATTTAAGTGAAGAGGTGGGGTTAAGGATCTCAAGGCAGGAGTTCTATACTGTTTCATCTCTGAAAAAGATGGGCTTTGAGCTGCGTAATGGTGAGTATGTCAGAGCAAACATGGCTCATGGTGGTGCTGGTGATGATGATGATGATGATGAGGATGAAGATGGTGATGAAGGAGCTCGAGACGAGCCAATGTGGGAGGCACAGACTTCAACTCCACCGATCACCTTACAGCGTGTGTGGGAGCGCATGGATGGCATGTACGAGTACATGGGCCAGATGTCCACCCAGATGACTGGCATGTACGACTACATGGGGCAAATGACCGCCCAGATGAGCTCAATGCAGGTGACCGTGAATGAGATGCGAGATGAGTGGCGATCTTTCAGCGGAAGATACATGCATCCCACCACATCCGACCACCATCATGCTACCACCACCAATGAAGAAAATGTGGACGAGGGAGAGGGGAGAGATGAGTAGGAGAGAGGAGATTTTATATTGTGTGTTTTAGTTTTCAAAACGATTGTTGATTGTTATTCTGTTGTTTTTTTAGTTTTATTTTTATGTGTGAACAATTATGCTATGATGGTTTTTTAGTTTTATTTTTATGTGTGAACAATTATGCTATTTTTATGTGTGTTTTATTTTTAGTTGTTATGCTATGAATTGATGAGTCCTTGTTATAATTATTAATGACTAATTATGATGCTTTGAAACATAATTTATATGATTAAATTAACCATACAAATCGACATACATAAGCAAAAAAGACACGGGGCATAGGTTGACTTTCTTGTATTCGGTCGACCTCGTACCGGATTAGGTCGACCGAGAAACCAACACTTGATCTCATTTTACGTCAAATGATTGGACACTTTGATAGAACACTTATCTTCTATCTGGTCGACCTCTTTCCTTATCCGGTCGACCATTTTGTTAATGACTGCCATCAAGTGGTCGACCTATATATTAGGTGGTCGACCATGTTGTTTCTGACGCCAACGAAATGGCCGACCGAGGTTTTATTCTGGTCGACCAAAAATACCAACTCAAACTAAATGCGGTCGACCAGGTGGTCGTGGCGGTCGACCGCAACGCTTTCTCGTGCCGCCCAAATTAGTCAATTCGGTCGACCGCCCTCAGGAATAGGTCGACCGAAAAGTGCATGTCACCGTGACATGCATGTCATAGTAGGCATACCCAATCTTATATTGATCAGAAAAAAGGCAGTTACATCCTGGAATTGAGTCAGACCACAAAATCAAAGAACCGACTTGCAGACTAATGGACTTATACATTTTTGCAAGTTGCCGGAGGTAGTCTACCGAAGAGATTTCGTCGAAAAAAGTCTGTCAAAAGGATTTAATCGGAGAAAAGCCTGTCGGTCGAAGCGGAGTGACTACCGAAAAAGGAAGAGAAATATATAAATGTATTTATTGTAGGATTTAATTTTCAAAAAAGAAAAGCATGTATTTAATTTGGATTTTAAATTCCAATGTGCAATTAATACAAAAAAAAATAATTAATAAATTCTTATTTTGTCATACCCAAATTGCCCTTGGTTGTGAAACTCACAGCCCCTTAGAAGAAGTGACGCTATCCAACCTCGTTTAAACTACATACAAATTGTTTATGAAAAGAGACTGAATTTTAAGGAGGATCTCTTTCACTTTTCTCTTTAGGATGATAGACCGCTTGGAGGTTTGGATTTCAAGTGATCTATTTAGCCAATACATGTAATGTTAAGATTAAGTATTTTTTTGGTTAAATTTATAACAGAATACATGTATTACTTTTTTCTGAACCCACGTACAATCACTCAAAATGCGTGATTATGAATCTCTACCAAAAGGTGAGATTGTGAACAATGGCTTGCCTACCCTCTACTTTTTTATTTATAACAAAACACAATCTAAACCGCCAAACGAAGTATTTTTCAAATTCATACATTTCATCAATACATCAAATTACAAAACATAAATTGATTAAGGGGTCGTTTGGAAGTTGCGATTGTTAAATAGATGTATTGTTGAGAATGCATGTATAATATTATACATGTATTGTCGAATTTGATGCATTGTAGAATACAACGTTTATTATGTGTGATTGTGTATGTCGCATCAGCTAAAAGCTGAGACAAAACAATCTCAACTCAACTATCTCAACAATCACAACTAAAAGTTGAGATATAACAATCACTCAAAATGAGTGATAGTTTCTGTCACATCACAGAAACAATCCATGTATTGTTTCTGCTAAAAAAACAAAAAAACGATGCATTGTAAACAATACATGCATAATGACAATCTCAACAAAACAATCGCAACTTCCAAACGACCCCTAAATACATCAATGTGGAGAATCCCAACTTCCAAACGACCCTAATTTAAAGTGCACCCAATTGACCAATGGATTACAATCTCTTTGGCAAGAGCATACTTTTTTCTCTGGTTAGAAAAAAACGATTGTAAAATACTTGCCAATCCGGTTTAGTTCATTGGCTTAGTCAAGCAAGTGAATTGAGGGTTAATGGTTCAATGATTTTAGCTTGAATATATATAAAAATCATTATATTATTTAAACATTTATAAATTATATCAAATTTCATCTAACATATAACTAATAAGGATAAATACAATATATTAGCCACAACTATTATGAAGCGGGGAATTATAGCCACAACTATGAAAATTCAAATTATTAGCCATAACTATTATTGTGGGTCAAGATATGGCTAACTGTCCGTTACTGTTATTGAATTTTTGACGAAGAAGGCCACGTCATCGGCCACGGCAGCGGCCACGTCAGAATGCTTTTAATTTATAACTTTAAAACATAAAAGTTTAGTCAGTATTACTAACGAAATTGTTAACAGATAGTTAACGTTTGGCTAATAATTTGAATTTCCATAGTTGTAGCTATAATTCCCCGCTTCATAATAGTTGTGGCTAATATATTGTATTTACCCAACTGATAACACAAAACATTGCACCAAAAAACATGTTCTACCTTGGATCCAACATATAGTGAAAATTCACACATTTATATAAACATCAATATTTAGATGTTCAAATTAGAATTCCAAAAATTGGGTTAGACAAAAAGAAGAACCGAAAAATAGACGGATTTCAAAAAAATGACACAATTTAACGTCAAACATAATACCTTACAACAGTCGACATAACGAATTGGGACAATGTTGACCTTGAATATTTGTGAAAACGAATTCCACATGTAACTAGTTGTAACGGCAGACTGAAAGGAGAAAAAGAGACTACTTTTCCAGTCACCGGTCGCCGCGCCGGTTACAGAAAACGTAGTAGCTTTCAAAAGAGAAGAAAGAGACAACAGTCGCAGGTTCCTTGTGCAGTGAAGCAAATTCCTATTCCTTTCCAGTTCCAGGCGGATAGAATCGGGAAAACGAACTATGTCACCTTCTTCTTCTTCACATGATATCGTACTCACCAGCTCACCGGAGGGACCCATCACCGCCTACAACGCCTCCACCGGAGCCGTCCTTGCCCGCCTCACCGGCACCCGCTCCCCTCGCCGCGGCCTCGCTCTAGTTCAATTCACTTACATCGCCGCCTCCCACATCTCCTCCTCCTCCACCGCCGCCGTCCACCTCTACAATTGGTGGTCATCCACCGCCCTCCACCGCCTCCCTCTCCCGGAACCCGTTGCCCCTATCGCCCCTTCCCCCGACGGCTCATGCATCTTCGCCGGCGGCCTCTCGGGCAACATCCATTCACTCTCCATCCCCTCCGGAGACCTAATCGCTTCTTTCCTTGCTCACCCTGGCTCCCCTGTTTCTTGCCTGGAAATTTCCCCTGATTGGTCGCTCCTCGTCTCAGGAGGAGACGACGGCAGAATCGCTGTTTTCCCAGTCTTCCAATTCCTTCAAAATTCCTCCCAAAGCGAAAAAGACAAGTCAATGACAATGATTCGGAGCTTTACAGCCCATGATGGGCCTGTGACCGCCATTGTCCTCTGTATGGGTATCTCTCAGCCCACTGTAGTTTCCTGCTCAACTGATTCCACTTGCAAGCTGTGGAGTCTCCTGGAAGGGAAGAACCTCATGACGGTGGCGTTTCCGTGTCCAATTTCAGGAATTGCTTTGGACCCGTCGGAGACAGATCTCTACGCTGCAGGTTCTGATGGTTCAGTTTACCATGGAGTTCTGAAATATGAAAGCAGGAAACAAAGAAGAGGCCAATTGATTACTGCATTGCCTGGAAAACACTGTGCTGCCGTTGTGTCGATCGCTCTGGTGAACGGCGGGAAGAGGCTGGTATCCGCTGCGGAAGACGGCAGTGTTCATATGAGGGAAGTAGAGACAGGGGAGGTTGTGATGACTATGGGGAATAGTAATCTAGAGAGCATAAGTGAGATGGTTGTTGCCAAGCGTGGGATCGTTGATGATGGCGGAAGAAGAAGGCATGGCTATGGCGGCTCTGCATCATTTGACTTCTGGGGTTGTGGTGGAAGCTCCTCTTCCTCTGGATTGCCTGGGAAAGAGCTATGTGCACTGGGTATAAAAGAAGCAGGGGAACTTGAGAAAGTTATGAGCTCTGTAATGGAAGATAGAGGCAAGGCAATTAACATGCTGGAGTCTGCAATTGAAGTTTACGGGAGCCTATTGAAACTCATTCTGAAGGAAGCCAATAGAGGTACTAACAACAGCAATGGAGGAAAGCCGAAGGATGGCACTGAACAATAATATATGAATTGGAAGCAAACAAACGTGGATTTATTACTCTTTTTCAGCCATAGCTGATATAAAGGAACGCAAAATGCTCAGCAAACGATACAACTAGAAGATAAATATAGCCTCTCAAGAGAAAACATTAGAACACTCAACTGGCAAAATATTTACAGTTCTAGAAACCAAGTGAACGCTTTTTAAGCAGGAGATGTATTTCGTTCAAAGAATGTAAGACTCCAGTCAATGAAGAAAACAAGCAAGTTCCCCTTGGTGTATCCTTTGAGGGACAGATGATCTATGCCTCCAATAAACCATCTTCAGGGGTTCCGTTGGAATGGCCATTATCACTTATCAGGACCATAGACGTGGCCCATCTTTTGTTTCTTGGTTTCCAGGTATCTCCGATTCTCTGCTGTGATTGGAGTAATCAATGGAACTCTTCCAGCAACAGAGAGACCGTATCCTTTGAGGCCAATGTATTTTTTGGGATTGTTCGTCATCAGCTTCATCGTGCGAACACCAAGATCTCGGAGTATCTGAAAACAAATGATGAGATGTTCAGCCGTTGCAAAGCATTAGACAATATATATATTATGATCTAGGCTTTCTGACTGCATGTTGGATGATTGTTAAGACTATATACCTGTGCACCAATGCCATATTCACGGGAATCCACTGGTAAACCGAGCTCTTCATTGGCTTCTACAGTATCACGGCCATCATCTTGGAGGTTGTAAGCACGAAGCTTATGGCCTAAACCAATCCCTCTACCTTCATGTCCACGGAGATAAACCAGAACACCCCTACCGGCTGCTTCAATCTGCTTCATAGCAAGTGCTAGCTGATTGCCGCAATCACATCTTGCAGAACCAAATATGTCGCCAGTCAGACACTCAGAGTGCACTCGAACAAGTATATCATTTCCCTCTCCGATTTCGCCCTGCATACAATAAAATAAACAGTTTGTCGTTGGTAGTTGGAATACAAGTATTGTATTACAAATGGACATGCTTATCATGCAGGTGCACTTTTGTCTTCGATAATGAAACAATCAAATATCTTTAACAGTTGGTTGACATTTTATCCATTGCAGACAAAGTATGGGATATCTCAAGAACACAAGTTCTCTACACATTTGTGTATCATGAAAGCCAGAGTGGAACTACAGAAACGTACAGCTTTTTTAACATTCCATCCACTGCATATAGCGAAAATATCATAATCGCATGAAAAAGATGCAACAGGTAGCTAACTACAGACAGTATTTTGAACTCGGTGTCTGCATCAAATGTAAAGCAACATAGATTTGTGCAAACCGTTCGTCTGAAATCTGCATGTGTAATTAGCAAATGGAGCTTACTTTAACCATGGCAATGTGCTCAATCCCGTCAATCAACGACCTGTAGCAATAGGATTTGAAAGGCCCCCACATTGTAGGTATCCGAGCAGCAGCAGACAGCTCCACTAGTCTGTCCCTTTTCCTCCTGAATCTGCGGGCACAAACCAGAATTTTTCTTGGATTCAGAAACAAGAAGATTCAAAGATAAAGTTTGGTATCATCATTACAAGCATTATACTTGACTTGACATATAAACGTTGATGAAACAAGCACAACTGTGGTACCTGATAAGATCCGCTATAGAGACTATCTTTAGATTCTCTGCTTTTGCAAACTCTCGCAGTCTGGGCAGTCTAGCCATGGAGCCATCGTCATCAACAATCTCGCACAAAACTGCAACAGGTTCCAGACCAGCAAGCATCGACAGATCAGCAGAAGCTTCTGTGTGACCAGCTCTCTTCAAAACTCCTCCCTCTCTATACTTGAGAGGGAATATATGACCCGGGCGATTGAAATCTTCTGGCTTGGAGTCCTTAGACGCAAGAGCCAATATAGTTGTTGCCCTGTCACGAGCGGAAACACCAGTCGTTGTGCCAACTTTTGCATCCTAAACAATAGCCAAATCGCATGATGTAAGATGAATAGTTCACTTCTCTGCTACAAGTAGCCAGCAGCGCAAGCAAACATGATAAAACTGCTACTTACAACTGACACTGTAAAAGCTGTGCAAAGCTTTTCCTCATTTTCCTTAGTCGATACCATCAGAGGCAGTTGCAGCCTCTCTAAATCTTCATGTTTCATGCTCACACAGACTATCCCAGTTCCATGCTTGACAATGAACGCCATTGCTTCAGGTGTTGCCTTAGAAGCTGCCATGATTAGATCACCTTCATTCTCTCTATCTTCATCATCAACCACGATCACAAACTGCATGAACGACGTAAATATTATCACGAACTTCATTCTCTATATCGCTGAGTACCAAAATTCACAATAAGAAGGAAAGAGTGCTACCAACCAACCTTGCCCTGGCGGATATCTTCAATAGCATCAGGGATGGAACTAAACCCTTCAGTAGGACGATCCAAGTCATATTCATCATTATCAGGGGAAAAACTAGTCCCGGTGGGAGTCATCTCCGCAGAGAGAGTTGCGAAATCTACCACATCAGGTTGCAACTCAATCCCAGAAAGCGAGTTCGTCACATTATCAGTGGCAAAGATATCTTGTGTATCCTTCCTGGGGAAAGCAAGAAGATCACCTTCCCCAGAAATCACAGAGGCTCTACTAGTCATACCATTTCTGCTGCTTCTGCCCAACCCCTTGAAACCAGCAGCAAACAGTTTTCTAGCAGCAGCGGTGGAGGAGAGCACATTGTTACAGCTCCCATTCACTGCCAGCGGATGCAAGGAACTCTTACCTGGGTAGCCTCTGAAAGACAGAAAAAAAAAAATTAACATATACAAGTCATAAATTATGACAGGAGTGCGAACAAGGACATGCGCATCTAGGCTAAAACTGAGGGGCAACATCACCATCAAGCATGAAAAATGAAAGCCTAAAAGACGGGGGGGAAAAAAACAGTAACGCGAGCAACAGGGGGAATTAAGCGCAGTAGATTGCATAAGGGTCGAATTGATACAATCCCATCAAAGATAAGACCTTTGAATCGATTTAGGGATGAGGGACAGCTAAACAACTGAAATCCAGAAAACCCAGATGGAGAAAAGGAAGATACAGAAGGAAGTACTCACAGTGAAGGCGAGGGAGCCAACGGGGAACGGAGGAAATGAACGGGAGAAGCCATCAACGCCTTGGGCTCTGGTTTCCAATTGATCGTGAAAGAGAAAGCAAAGCGTTACAGAGCTAAAAAGGGGAGGAAGAGTCAGATACGGAAGACAAAAAGGGAGACAATCCGATTTCCGGCGGCTGAGGACCGAGATTAGGAAAGAACGGTATGCCTTCTTGTAATGGAATTTAATATAATAATAAGTAATAACGGAAGGTAGGAATGGGGGAAGAAATCGCCCCGAATGTACGCGCCAAACCGCCTATCCGCACCCAAGAATAAAACTGGGAAACAGGGACCAGAGTAGAAGAAGAAGAAGACGGTTTGGGTTTGTGGATCGGATGACGAATGTGGTGATTGCGATGAAGATGTTTCTGGTCTTTATATCGCTAAACCCAAACAAAGAAAATACCAAAATAAAAAGGATCATCACGTGGCACGGATCTTGCTTGCCACCATAACCTACTGTTAATTGCATAGTTTGGTAGTTTAATTGAATTAATCAAAGTATTAATCGGGTTTCTAGTGTGGCAGTGGCGGGTGGAGTGGAATGAAGCAGGCCGTCCTTTAATCTCCACAGGCATGAATGATGACTCTTCCGACCACGGCGCCGCCTCCCGGCCCCAGGGGCTGAACATTGCGATGTATCTATTACCTTTTCTTTTACAAGATCTTCTACATCTCGGCTCCCACCACTGTGCGCATCGATCCGATCCAATCCAAATTCAGGAGAACCGCGGTCCAATAGTGAAAATATCTTAGAATTAAGTAACGTACTAATAGTGTATTCGGTCTGTTTTGGTCGGGTCCAAATGTCAATTCGATCTATTTTTCTTCATTATCTAGAAAATTCATAGGACCAAGGATCGGACCAGATTATATTTGATGATTTTTTATCCGGTCCAAGTCTCTGTTTGGTCCGGTGTGGTCTAGTATAGACCAACCCATTGCCTACCCCTACCAACCAGCGTCCAAACAACTATTTCAGATCATGACAACCCTGATGGTAAAAATCGTTACTCAAATTATTGATTGAATATTCGCCGTTTGAACAAGGGGTTTTACTTAATTATTGTGATTTAAAAACAAAGTTAATATCATTTTGTACTCCTCTAATATGTTAAGTTAACAAATGTAGCTCTTTATTAAATTTTGTAACCGTTAAAGTGATTGCAAAATGACTCAGTTACCCCTCATTTACTTCTAAATAGGGATGGCAATCAAACCCATGGCCGCGGGTACCCGACCGCCCCATACCCAGTCAACGCGGGGAATCCCCGCTTTGACCGGGTATGGGGCGGGTATGGGTAAAACCCCCAAAAGGTTTGATGGGTATGGGGCGGGTATGGTTTTAGCCTCCCCCGCCCCATACCCATACCCATACCCGCCCCACCAAGAGAATTTCTTCACATATCAAAAAATACGTGGATTAAATTGTAATCTATCAATGATGATGATGATAACTCGAGAAAATAAATAGTAGAAATGCAATTGAGTAACCACCTTAATCAAAACCTAATTCATTTCCCTCAATTCTCCTTCCACTCTTTCACTTTCCCCCTTGTCAACAAAATTATGTTAGTTAATTATTACTTAGTAAATGTATCAAGAGTTAGAGCATAATAATTTAAAAAATATTGTAGTCTATATTATGTATTAATGGATGATTTAGGATCATATTCTTTGAATCGTATTTAGAAAATGACCGTGTTTTGTTGACTTCGTGATATAATAGGTTTGTTTCTGGTTATAATTAAAACTTTTCATGTAAGTTTTAGGTATAATAATGTTGGATGTACGGGGATGGGTATTACCCATGGGTACCCGAAACCCACGGGTATGGGGATGGGTTTGCAAAACATTCCCCCGCATGGGTATGGGGCGGGTATGAGTTTGGGTATTTGAAGATGGGGATGGGGATGGTTTAGGCAAACCCGCCCCAAACCCGCCCCATTGCCATCCCTACTTCTAAACACTCATAATTTCAGTTTTAATTATTTATATTATGTCCCAAATAAATAATTTAAATTATTTATTTGGGACATAATATAAATAATTAAATGACCAGGATCAAATGACCCCAGAAATAGCTGATGGCCATCAGCTATTTTGAAATCCCACAATATTTGATCATTTTGTTCCATAAATGCCCATGCTCTTTTTGTGTTAATCCAACTTTACCCTCCTCATTCTATTAGTCTAACCATCAACCCATCGTGCAGTCACTCCCATAGAAGAAAAGGAGCTCTCGACGAGCATGTGGCGTCGGAAGCGAACTCGCCGGCGACAATAAAGTAGCAGTTCGACAGTCGAGTAGCCGAGGTGTTGGGGTCTGCTAGGTCAATTCGTTTCAGGTTAGTTCCTCTTTTTCTTTTCACAATCTGGATATCTAGGGTTCTGTTCTTGGGATTTTTTTTTGGCTGTCGGCTTCTTCTTCCATCAGTATGTACTATTTTTGGTTTGGGGTTACCTGCTCAAAATCAATAAGCTCGCCAGAGATGGCCATGTTGGGGCGGGCAAAGAAATCATTCCCTTTACCCCTTCTCTTCTTTGAAAAGGACTTCGAAAAGTATATTGCTTTGTTGTTGTTTGTTTCCTATGCTGATGTAAATTTGTTGTTTGGTTAGAATCATTGAGCTTTCTGATTGACAAGGCTTTAAATTGTTGTTTGGTTAGAATCATACGTGTCATTGCATTGTCCTCGTTCTAGTGATCAAAGGGTGTTTTACATTGAAGCTCCCTGCTAATTTGACATTTTAGTTCTCACTTGTTGGCTTCTACTTGTGATTGGCTTTTACATTGAATCTCAGCTCTTTAAAGTTGCTTTGAAACTATGGTTGGGTATTACTTGCAGAAACACCCTAATAGTACAGGCCTGAACAAGAAACCATTCATGGTTTATGATGCTCTTACACCGGTGTCCATGAGTCTGCAATTACATTCTGCAGAACCAACATATGATTTAACTTAGCTTGAAGTTGTGCTGTCGAGAATGTTATGTTGTATTTGATGTCTTATGTTCCAAAATCTGCAACTCTGTTAAAATGGATTTGGTTGTTTAAGGAATGTAATCTTGTTTGAGGAATTTAATATTGATTAACACAACAACCATGAACATGCTGTGGTGGATGCATTCAGCAGCTGCTGTCCTCCAAAGCGTGAGGAAGGAAAGGAATAACAATGGCGAGAAGAAGAAACAGCAGCAGTGGTCGAGGAAGAAGAAACAACAGCAATGGCAGTCGTATTTGGCCTTCTATACAAATAGATAGACGAAGTTAATTATGTAATTGTGCATTCTCATTTTAGAAATACCACATTTATTACCGAACATGTGATTTGCCTAAATCTCACTCAAATTCCACATATTAAAAACTTGGGTTTTTAAACGAGTAATTTGGGTCAAAATCTCTCTCAAATCCCACAAATTAAAAACCTGGATCCAAATGACCCCATAAACTAATTCACGCTCACTTATACGAGAGAACATCTGAATAGCATATACTTCTCAATTAGAAGAAACCGACGTTTAATTTGTCGCGAGGCGGAAGCGCTACTAGTGATGGAGGAGGTAATGGTGGCTCCGCAGCAAGCGCATGAGGCCCGGATTCGAATCGTCTGCACGTCGCTTTGCCAGAGCGACATCACTTTCTGGAAGATGAAGGATTTCCTCGAGATTATGCCCAGGATTCTCGGCCATGAAGCGTTCGGACGCCCGGGACGAGGAGATGAAGCAGCAATCTTTCCGCCGCCAGATTCTATTGGACGCAGTGTGAGAATTCATTGCGGTGCTAAAGAAAAGATATATGTCAAGGACAGGTGCGGCCCTCGGGGAGATGTTCGCTTCAGTGGCGGCTGGGCTTCTCCAGGACTCAGAGTTGCAATTCCATCGATGTCAATCCTTCCTGACGGATACCAGCAGTCAAGTTTGAGAAACGGATGTCGGGAAGCTGGCCCCTGTTGTGTGATCGAGGGGAGAAATGGATGGCGTCGGAACATCTAGTCGTCTGGTTGCCTATCGACTGGTTCTCTCTACTCCAGCCGTCGGCAAGGAGATGCTAGGAGCAGGCGCCGCCACCGAGTCAAGGGCGTGTGAATTAGTTCAGGGGAGACAGTTCTGGTGTGAATTAGTTTAGGGGGTTTATTTTTGTAATTTATTTATTTGGGACATAAAAAAACTAAATCAAAATTATGAGTGTTTAGGTTTAAATGAGGGGCAATCGGGTTTTTTCATAGCCTCCATAATGGCCACTTAACAGATAATTAGATCGAAGGAAAATTCGTGGGATTAGATAGCATCACAACCCCGTTACGCTTCACCCTTCCCAATTGTCCATTCTCTTCCCCACGATCTAGCGGTCAATAATCATCAGGGGGAAAAAAAGAGATACCGCACTGGATCCGCTCCCCCATTCCACCTATGGTATCACGTAGATGTGGCAAATGGATTGATTCATGGAATGGTGGATCCATGGATCAAATGGATTGGTAGATTCATGGATTGGTGGATTATCCATGATCCAAATGACATCCTCAACCAAGGACCAATATATAAAATGTGAAAAGTTTAGGTACTCAAATGTTGTCGCTGGTTTCCTTTCCCCTGCATCATCAAGCCCATTTCTCCATTAGGTTCGAAGACTTGGTCGCTGAGAGTAGAGGTAATTTCGCTCTATTTCCTCCACTCACTTTTTCTTGATTCTGGTCGTTTGAAATTCCGCTTGATTGAAGTTTCAGTGACTTGCTTGAACTGATCGTTTCCCAGCGGCCTTCCCTCCTCTTCTATCGTCGTTTCCCAGCGGCCAACCATGCGTAAATCCAACTCCTAACCATTCAATTTTTTTTGTTCTTTTAGCGCATCGCCGAACATCCTGCCTCCGTCGACACTTTATACGGCTATTGAAAACATACCAGGTGAGGTTTCTTTATCCCAAAATGTTTTGATTTCCAAAAAAACGTTGGAATTGAAACATGCAGTTGTTTCTTTCTTGCATAGCTTGTCTGTTGTTTGTATAATGCAGTGGTACTTTGAATTGGTATCGTCGTGGTAGTGGTATTGGTACCAGGACCACTAGTGGTACATGTATCACTAGCACTAGTTATACATGTATCAGAGGCATTCCCGATACTATCTCTTTTGAATGTTTCGTAGTGTTGGTATTGTAAGTTTTAATATAATATGTCTAACAATATAGTTTTGTTATTTTGGTACCAGGAATGACGAGAACAAAGACTCCATGCTATATGTTGACGACAAAAGAACAACCAGCAGAAAAAAAACCTGTTGGAAAACAGCCTGCTACCTATGAATCTTGACATGTTGTCATCCGTGAAGTGGAGTCATCTGATTCTAATTCGGGCTCTAGCAAGAAACGACCACGAGATGGGTTAACAAAGTGTCCCTGCGGGAAGAAGAAGAAGCAGAAAGTAGAAACAAGTGCAAGCCAATTCGGGAAGAAGTGCCAGTTAGGGAAGCAGTGTTTCTTTTCCAGAGTTCTAGGAGTATGATATTGGTTTATGTACGTTTTGGAGTATGAACAAAGTTGGAGCAGTTGTTGGCTTTTAGCTCTCTTGTGGAGCACTTTTTTAGTTCTCTTGTGAAGCATTTGTTGAGCATTTTTTAATGTGAACCATTTGTGTTGAAGAAAACCCCTAATGTTGGTGAAGCACTTAATATGATTTTGCCTTTTGTGTTACAATAGTAATTCTCTTGCTTTTCTAATTACACATGGACTAGTAGTGGTACATGTACGAGTAACTAGTAATGGTAAGTACCAGAAACCACTAGTGGTACCAGCACAAGAAACTAGTGGTACCAGTAGAAGACTTAATATTTCCGTTACAAGTAATTACTAGTGGTACTTGTACTAGTAACTAGTAGTGGTACTTATATCATTAATAGTTAATGGTACATGTACCTTTACAATATAGTGTTAGAAACCAAAAGTATAAAGACAGCAAAACATCATCAGAATAACGTAATATCTTCTACAAGGAACAAGTTTGAGTTTATTATGAACCAAATTTGAATTGAAACATCTAACGAGACAAATGACAAACAATAGGTTTTGCTTTTTTCCCCTCTTTTTGTTCAGCTCCTTATTAAGTTGTTTTCTTGTCAATTCACTTGCAATCTCCCTCGTCGGCATCCACCTCTTCTTATATCTTTTCTTGTCATGACGCTGCTTCATTTTGGACCCTAAGCTTGGTCATCAATGAGTTCCGAAGTTGCTAATGGGTCTTCATCCATGTTTTCAACAGATTTTGGTGCTCCTACGAAAAAGAGAGAAGTCTTTGGTTAACAAGCTAAACAAACACAGACCAAATCCTAGATCACTGTTAAGACTACATAGACTTTAATGGTACTCAAATCTACTAGTAGCGGGAATTGGTAGTACAAGTACCAATGACTACCAACAAGTACCAAAGATTAGACAAACTTACTTTTCACGATGTCACCGGCTTCTAGTTGAGCTTTTCCAAAGTAGAAGTCAATAGCTCTTAGACTTCATCATTTGTAGCAAGCCTAGTAGCTAATACATTCATAGTCTCATTGATGACCACTGGAAATACACTACCACTACATGACTACCACTAATATACTACCACTTTTAACGATCTACCACTACCTAACTTATAGTACCATTCTGCCTTGGCATTAGTTGTACCATTAACATAAAAATATCAGTTCAACGAAAGACATAACTGCACTAGTTAACCCTACCGAGAATGTTGTGGTCGATGATATTATTCATGCCGCCGTCATTGTCTTCAACAGGCTCGACTGCCTACTGTTCAAATTCGTGAGTGATCTCCATGTTAACGTTGTTGGTCTTTTCGTGGTTCTCCGGAAACTCTATGTTGAGCAAGTCCTCCACGTCAGAAACGCCTGCATCATTCGCCATGAAAACATCACCACCATTGTCCGCCTCTTTAGCTACCGTCGTCGTCGTCGTGGCTCATGTAGTTGCTCGTCGACATGATGCAGGCAACATGACTCCGACAGTCTGTCGGTTATCGACGCAACACTACGCCGAGCCCGCTTGTTTCTGCAGCTCTTTTTTCTGCTTTTTATTTTATTTTTGTTTTGCAACCCCTACAATGTATGATAAATATGCACGGATGCCGCTATCGAGAACGTTAAATCCGGCTCCATTAGACAACGAATTACTATGGGCGGATGGTGAACATCAAGCCGATTTGGTTTGGTCGAATGAGGTAGATACTTTAATTTATGAATTTAAGTTAGTTAATTTAGTTTTATTTATTTTTTAGTGATATCAAGAGAGGACAATAATTATACAAAAAAAAATTATCCAGGAATCCCCAACAAGCGACACCCTAGTGAAGCCACCCAATAAAGTCGAAAGACTTTAACCGTATGAGAGACAATAACAGTGCTTTACGTGCCACTTTATGAGCATCATTATTGGTGGCTCTAGGAATTGCCCTAACCTCTATTCAAGCTAACAAAGAGTTTAGGAACTGACGACACTCCTGGAGCACTGGACCTCCGAAGGAACCTTTTAGGACTCCTTGCCGGATCAGGTTGGCGACCACCTCGGAAGTAGTGCTCTGGCTAAGACGAATTCGCCCATCAACTTCCCCACTTAATCTCGTCGGTGGACGGAGAGATCTGCAATTGGGGATCCAGAGATGAGATCTTCTTCTACCAAATCACCAGCGGGGATGAAGGATTCCAGCAGCAACATGAGTCTTCGCTTTGCTCTGTCTCTGCACTGGAACTAGAGGTTTAGGCCTTCCCTTAAAAAATTACTCATACTGATTGATGTTTGAAGCGACAACACTAGAAGTGCTGGCGAGTCGGTAGAAATCGAGGCCATCCATCCATTTCAATGGGTACTCGCAGTGAAGGGAGCCAATTTCGTCGGCGATTCGGTGGACAAGAAGGCGTCGGTCAATAGCAGTGGAGGAGCATTCGGAGAAGTTTTGGAGCCGAGGCAGAAGCCGCCGTCGTGGAAGTAGTAAACGACGGGAAGTTCGGCGGTATAAGAAGGTGGAGGACCACCGACGGTACTTGGAATCTAAGCTTGGATTGGGTGGAGGGTGGGAATGGTGGAAAGAGTGGTGCTAGAGAATGAGAAGTTGGAAATGGTGAGGGAAGTGAATGTGGATGTCAATTTTAAGAGGGAATTGCTTGGCGTGTCCAGCAGCGGCGGTGGATCAAAGGTCGATGGCGACAGAGAAGAAATAAGGGTCGGAAGGATTTTGATTTGTGATAATGGTTTTTTTAGGTCGGGTGGGTTGGGTTGGGTTGAGTTTATATTGTGTGGCGGGTTTTTCTGACGTGGCGGGTCGAGTTTTGTTTTTCTGGGTTAAAATTGAGTGAGTCGGCATCTCTGTTAGCCATGTTAGCATTTAACTTACAGTACTAACGGAGTCTGACGGAGGGTAACGGAGAGTGAACTTGGACTGTCTAATTAATTTGAGTGATTACGAATGGAATAAATTAATTTTAGTAGCAAACATGAACTTTTTAAATAATTTCAGTGACCAAACTTGCAATTTTCCCCAAAACAATAACTTGTATTGCAAATCAATGAATACAAAGTATACAAATCACAACATAAAGTATACAAACTAGACAAACAAACGTTACAAATTACAATGTATACAAATTAGTCATATAAACATTTAAAACATAATAGATAAAAATGACAAACTAGAATTATAAACTATATAAACCGAATTGATACAAAATCACAAAACATACTTACAAACATTACAAAATCGTTCGACAAACATAAAAAAATAGACGCTATCGCCGGAAAATCCTCTCCGCCGATGACGAAAAATCCTCTCTCTATATCTCTATCTCTCTCGGACTAAAAAATGGACGGGATGCACCATTTTGGCCGCCGGAAAATTCTGGACGGCGGGGAGGACGTCGAAACATTCTGGTCTACTATGGCGGGAGGACAGGATGTGCCGGCCTGCGGTGCGTATAGACTCTTTGAATTATTAATTATTAAAAAATAAAATAATTATGATTCATGCAATTACTACATTACCCTTCATTAAATTGAATTAATTGAAGCCATTGAATTTTAATTAGCATCATGGACTGAGATCGGCTTAGACAAATGACTAAGAGACCCCCTTAGTCACGTGATCCTAGCCCCAACCCACCACCGAAATCCCCAAAATAACTTGTTCCTGGAGCGAATCGAATCAAGTAGTAGGTGGTGTCGACGATGAATCAGATCCATTCGCCCTATCTCTGCTGCTCCGCAAGGCCGAGCATTCTGCCGCCGAGGTCGCACTCGACTCCCTCTCTCACCGCGACCCTTCACACTCCCACGTCGCTCGCAATTCTGATTTTCGCTCAACTCCCAGGTCGTCGGGTGGGCGGGTGGGTTTGGTGAATGGACTGAAAGGCCGCCTGCGATAGATCAGTGAATGGCTCTCGTGCACTTTGCCTCTCTTCCTCTCTTTCTCCCTCTCTCGAGCTGGAGTATTGGGGGGGGGGGGGGAGTTATTTTTTGATCCATTGATTGGGAAGTGGGGACGGGGCGGATGCAAGGTTTTCAAACCGATTCATACCATTGTGTTGGTTTAGCAAGTGAAATGGTTCTATCGGTGGTATAATCGGTTTGTGCCGGTTCATTCTGAATTTAACAAAATCTGTAAAAAATGTGAAAAATCATTAACATCAACATTTAAATACAATATTTAACGTCAATAAGTAAATATTATATTTGAATCTAACAAATAACATCATCATTTAACTTTTAAATTCATAAAATAAATTTTATTAAATAAATTCACTAAAACAACAGCATTTTACTTAAAAGTCTTAAATCGATCATGTCAGTAATACCGGTGGTGTTCATGCAGGTTTCATGATCGGTAGCAGTTGTCAAGCCACCGGCATGACACCACGCGAATGAGTGTATGTTTTTTCTTCTTTTTAAATTTTTATTGAAATATTTCATGTAAGCAGCCATGTCATTGATGATTGTATTTTTTGTTAAATATTAACGAAAAAACTTAACGGTCAGTATAAATGTGACATATCGAAAATTTACATAATATAAATGGCACTTTTGCTAATGGTTTGTATTTTTAGTGGTATTAGCTTTTAAATTTAGAGAAGACATGAGGGGATCGAGCAATTGAACCTTAGGTAACCAGTTCGTGGAGCGGGAGCGAGAGCGTGAAAGCGTCTTTTTTTTCAAGAACTTAATATTAAAAGCGCGACGAGAGCGTCAATATAGTATATTATTTTAAATTTAAATGTATGCTATCTAAAATAAATAACTATAAATAATATAGGTGTAGCCATAATAAATTCATGCAACTGAAATTATTTTATGATGAGAGCGAGATATATTTTGTTTCTCTTAACATTTTTGGTAAAAAAACGTGCAACAAATAGTAAACTTAAGTGACACATGGTACAATTAACCTTTTTTTTAGCTTTTTAAAAATGTGATGGTTGGTGGATCATAAAATTATTTAGGGTAAATACAATTTAATAGCCAAACCTTTGACTTAAAAACAAAATAATAGCCAAATCTATTAAAAAATAATAAAATGGCCAAACCGTTAACTTTCCATTCGGTCAACCGTCATTTGACTCTGACGTGGCAAAAACTTTAATGAGATAGAAAAATTTTGATGACGTGGCAAGAAGTCAAACGTTTGACCATGCCACATGGTTAATTATTAACTTAACAAAATAATAAGTTATTTTTTAAAATAAAAAATAACCTAAACTAAATATTTTTTTCATCTCTCTTCCTCTTCCTTTCTTTTTTTGGTTTTCCATTTTTACTTTCCTTTTCCTCGGTAACTAAATCTCCCCCAAATCTAAAAATACCCTAAATCGGAGAGAGCAATTTTCATCCGCCCGTCAGAGACAACCGCGACGAAAGAGAAAGAAGAAGGGGAAGCGATTGAAGCAGATGAATAACGTCGGAAGGAATGAGTTTCACGAGCACAAGCAGTCGGCGTCGGCCGTCGAGAGGCTAACGAAACCAAAACCGTTTGATGTTTCCTGTAAATCGCCAGAGAGAAAAAAGGGGTACCCAGCCCAATTTACAGCGCTCTCCTGCTATTGATACTGCACCTCCGGCAATTAGTGGCGGTGGCAGTAGCAGCCGCCGCCACTTCAACCCCCTACGACGGAGAACCCCATCATCGGCTCTGTTTGCTGCCCTTCCAGTTCCTCAATCGTTTTCAGAGCTCTTACCCTGTTTCTGCTTCTTTAAGTTCGTATATGGAAATGGAAATAAAAGAACAAAAATTGACCAAACTTCCTTTCACTCCCAATTGGGTTCGTTCTTTTCTGGGTTTAGCATCACAAAAGTCTCCAACTTTTCTCCTTCCCCAACATTTCAGCTCAGGTTTGTGTATTGAATTTGAAGCCATCCATGGCTTATAAATCTTCTGTTAAAGAGGTGGGCATCTTGATTTGGTTCCCTTGATTTGGTTCCCTGTTTGCTCTATCATGGAATTGGGAGCAGTGTAACTTGATTTTACTTTTCAGTTTCCAGTCTCACAATTTGCTTTCTTCCCCTGTCACAGAGGCATTTCTTCTTCCTCTTTTGTCACCGCTGTCTCCGTCACCGTCAGTCGGATGAAAACTGCTTTATCCGATTTATGTTATTTTTAGATTTGGAGAGCTTTTACACAGGAGAAGGGAAGTGAAAAGGGGAAGAGAGGCGAAAATATTTTAGCTTATGTTATTTTTTATTTTTTCAGAAATAACCTATTATTTTCTTAAGGTTAATAATTAACTATGTGGGATGGTCAACGTTTGGCTTCTTGCCAAATAACCAAAAGATTTACATCTCATTAAAGTTTCTCCCACGTCATAGTCAACTAACAGTTGACCGGATGGAAAGTTAACGGTTTGGCTATTTAATTGTTTTTGAAAAGGTTTGTCTATTATTTTGTTTAAAATCAAAAATTTGGCTATTATATTGTATTTACCCAATTATTTAAAATATACTTCTCTCTCGATAGTTAGTCGTTACCTTTACCTCCCTCTAATCCCCCGCCCAAAAAAAATTACCAAAGCCCATCATTGGCAACATAATCACCATAAACGACCCAATAGCGAAAACTTTTGGCTCTTACCCAAAACTTCCCTCATCCCACCCCGCTCTCTTCTTCCTCATCGACGAATCCACTGGTTTCTCCCTGCAGCCTCTAGTCTCAAGCGCAGACGAGCGCCATTGATTCCTGACACAAATTGCGATATTCTTAATTGCCAACGAGATATTCATCCCAGTAAAGTTTAAACCCTCTGCAGTCAATTAATTCCCTTTCTTTTGCGGTATATCCATCAAACCAACCGAAGATTCCATCTCCTTCTCACCAAATCGGTGGGCGCAATCTTTGATATCTCTCACGCGCTCCGTCTATGTGGAATGAATCGCAAATTACTCTACAAAAATCGCACTCCAAGAGAAAATAAGTCGCGAATTTTGCGTGAATTGTGTGACCTAAAAACGTAAGTTTTGCCTTCTATGTATTTCTACCTTTTGCCATTTTCTTTATAAATCTGACCGTTGTTACTTGTTAGCCCTTCACGGCATAAAGGGAGGCAAAAGTAAGCCTTTTGGCTGCCTACCACTGAAGGGTCCAATCCAACTTACTGATTTGGGTACGCAATTTTATGGCTAAATTACACGTTTGGTCACTCAAAATTATACAAATCTTTCACGTTTGCCACCCGAATTACTTTTCTTTCTTATTCGCCACTAACTTTACGAATCGTTTCACGGTTGGTCATCGGCCGTTACACTCCGTTAAGTTTGTCCTACGTGGCAGTCAACTATAAAGTTTGACCGTTAACTAGATGACGTGGAAATTAAAAAAATAAAAAATAATAAAATTTTCTTTCCACCTCATCATTGCACTTATTTTGTCTATATAATTTATCATATTATATTAATAATTTAATAAACTACAAAAATGAGCAAATTCAAAGCTCATCTTCTTCACTAGCCAGTAGCTACATCATCGTCCCCTCCTCCACCCACAAGCTGCTCAGTGCTTCGAGCTTTCGCCTCTCCTCTTATCCAAACACAGATAGCGCAAGTACTGACCAATGCTGTCCTCCAAATCAAACCCATCTCTCCTCCGCTGCTCTCCGCGTCTAAGGTACCGCCCGAATCCGCACTCCGACTTACTTACTTCTTCTCTGCGGCGTTCCATTTTGGGGGAATTTTCATTCAATGCTTCCCGAAATTTGAAGGCGAAGGCTGTGACTGGAAGGAATGGCGGCGGTTGCGGAGGTCTGCAGGTAACATGCCGGAAGAAGGAGATACACCCGGAGTTCCACACGGACTCCAAAGTGTACTGCAACGGGGAGCTGGTGATGACCACCGGCGGGACACAAGAGGAGTACAACATTGACGTTTGGTCCGGCAACCACCCGTTCTACCTGGGGAACCGCTCCGGCGTGCTTGTGGACGCGGACCAGGTCGAGAAGTTCCGGAAGAAGTTCGGTGAGCTGACGCAGCTTATGCAAATCCCTGTGCTCAAGGGCGAGATTGTTTTGCCCAGCAGGTAGAAATCCGGAAAGGGCAATAAAAAGTAGAAAGAACAGTGAACAACTCACAGCTTGTGTATGGAGGTAAAATGGGTTTCAGATTGGTGTAATTGGGTCTCTGTTAAGTTTGAGAATTGTGAAGTACACTTTGCCCCCGATGAGAAATTGCAGATAACGTGTTCGATAAAATGCCTCCGTAAACTTGAAACATTAGCAGCAGCAGCTGGCAGCATATGTTGATGCGAACATTTGATTTCAGCATCTGAAATAGCAGAAGCAAGCAAATCCAGGGAACTGTGCATGGATAAGTGCAATAGACAAAATTATTTTTGCAATTTATTATTTTTGTAATTTATTAAATTTTATTAAATTATTAATATAAATTATATAGACAAAATAAGTGCAATGATGAGGTGGAAAGAAAATTTTATTTATTTTTTAATTTTTTTAAATTTCCACGTCATCTAGTTAACGGTCAAACGTTATAGTTGACTGCCATGTAGGACAAACTTAACGGAGTGTAACGGCCGGTGACCAACCGTGAAACGATTCGTAAAGTTAGTGGCGAATAAGAAAGAAAAGTAATTCGTGTGGCAAACGTGAAAGATTTGTATAATTTGAGTGACCAAACGTGTAATTTAGCCGCAATTTTATACACCTCAAATCAATCGTCCCTTTTACAGTCAAATGCTTGTAATTTAATTTATACGAGACATATGATGAATTACAATTTACTATTCAATAACTTCTCAGCACCTCGCATCTCATGCATCATAGCACATTTGTGAAAAAGGTTCGACCAAATATTGCCATTTACGAGTTTTTAACGATCACAAAATTATTACGAGATGTGACGATCCCGTATATTGAACATATTCACACATATGAGGTATTAGTTATTACACCATAATCGGGTTGCATACTATTTGAATTTCCTACCTGCTGCATGCATTCAACAAATTAAATTAAAAAGTCAAAATTCAAAAGGTTTTGCCTTTTGCTACAAAAGAAAAGGAACTCAAACTCTCCCTCCCAGGCTCCCACATAGGATGTCAATCCAACCCGTAACCATGGGTATCCTACCCGACCGTAACCGGTCAACGATGGTAATTACCCGCTTTGACGGGTTAAGGGGCGGGTACGGGTAATACCCGGTTTCAAAATAAAGGGTAGGGTACGGGTATGGTAATCGATAATACCCGCCCCGCTAATCATAGGATCAATTTCCCTTGAAAAATTTATTTTAGCTTGAGAAATTGAGTTTAGCTACCATTATTGATGATGAAGATGTAGACGATTATTATGTTTGTGTGGATTGTAGAAGCAAGAACAATTATTATGTGTTTTCTATTTTTATTTGTGTGGATTGTTGAAGCTAGAACAGTTAAAAGTATTGAGAATTTTTAATGGACAAGAATATGTATGTGCATATATGTGTATAAGTTCATAGTGTAGGATTCGTACCCATGGTTACCCGAATACCCGTGATTACCCGGTGGGTAGGATATGGTTATATAATTTTCATATCCGGTAGTTATATGGTCGGGTATTTTAGAAAGCTCCAACCGACGAATTAGGAGTTGATATAGGGTAAACCCGCATCCGACCCTACCCATTGCCATCCTACTCCCACCTAACCAAAAACATCTTTTTGTGATTTTCTTCTTCTATCTGTTTTATATATACGTTGCTTTGCTTTGCTTTCCATCTTATTTCTCCCTTTTGTTTTACACGACTGCTAGATTCTCTGGAGCCCTTTTGTTTTGTGCAGTACGCAGCTTTTTTCTTGTAGGCCCTTAACTCGCGCTGTAGACCAAACCAAGCTTTTATACGCCCACTACGCTAGCTACCCACACACACGAAAGGGATCCCTCTTTTCTTCACCTTTTGCTTTTTTCACTACTAAATGTAATGATAAGGTGGGAAAGGAAAGGACTAGCTACTACCTATGTAGGGAGGATAGTTTTTGGGTTACCATTGGAGTAATTTTTCCAGAAACACCAACACCAACAACAAAAATTCTAAAAATGCTACACATTTTCGAAAAATTCCAAAATACCACCCTTTCTCACAATTCACAAACAACAGATTTATGGTAGCAGATTAGAAATGAGTTATGATATCAGTAAACCAAACTTCCGCTCATTTTTTCCGACAAAAAAAAAAAGATTAGATCATATTTATGGTTTGAACAGCTGAATGAGGATTATGAACTAAACTAGTTGTCGTGTGTTTTTGCCATGGGTCAACATTTTTTTTTGTTGATCTTAACTTAAGTAACCAATTCGTGGAGCGGGAGCGTGAGAACGTCAATTTTGAAAGAATTTGATATAGAGAGCGTCATTATTATATTATATTATATTATTTCTTTTAATATAATTGGTTACCTAAGTTAATACCTTACCAAAATAGGTAGGCCTAGTGATGAAGGGAAGGCAAGAGGAGAGAGGTCCGAGGACCTTAACAAAATTTTGGGAAATACACTAAATAAATATGCTTGGGTAAGTTTATGTAAATATAGGACTCCATATTGTCACCGGTAATTGTTGTAACTAAGAACCTTAATCAACTCAAAGTTCATCAAGCACAAGGTTTTAGACTTATAGTATTATTAATTTTTAATGACCCCAATGATTTTACAGAGCACGTACCTACCCCATTGGATAGGCTATTTTAGGATGTTTATTCATGGCTTCTTACCCAAACTAGTAATCAGTGTATGAGAATGAAGCTCGTGCATTTAAAGAGTATTGGTCTCGAGTCGAGCTGGGGGCGTCTGGGATCCATTTGAGAGCGGATCCAGTGACTAGGGGGTGCTTAGTCAATTGATTAAGCCCCTCCCAGCCCTTAGATCTGGACACTTCAATTCAATGGTTAAAAAGTGGGAAGTGCTATTTAATTAATGACAGGGGTAGTTTGGGTATTATGGAAAATTACGAAGTATACAAACCGGATTTACAATCAGTACAAACCATACAAACATACGAACAGTACAAACTAGAGCGACAAAACATACAAACAGATTTACAAACATTACAAACGTATGAACTGTACAAACAATACAAACTAGACCGACAAACAATACAAACCATACAAAAAGAAAAAAACAACCGGGTTGACTTTGGAGGCTCCATCCCTATATAGAGGGGCTCCTTCCCAAAGTCAACCCGGGTGTTTTTTAGACATACAAACAGTACGAACATGGTGGACAAAAATGACAAACTAGACCGACAATCCATACGAACGGGAAAAAACACCCGGGTTGACTTTGGAGGCTCCATCCCTATATAGAGGGGCTCCTTCCCAAAGTCAACTCGGGTGTTTTTTAGACATACAAACAGTACGAACATGGTGGACAAAAATGACAAACATGGTGCACAAAAATAACAAAGTTTACGAACATTACAAAATAACAAAGTGTACAAACATTACAAAATATGTCAACAAACATCACAAAATTGGCACTGTCGCCGGAAATTCTTCTCCGTCCACGATGGTCGTCGGGAAAAAATTTTCCGACCAGAAACTTTCTCTCTCTCTCTCTAGAATAATGGCACAATGGCTGCACAGAAACTCTCTGGGGAAATTCCCCATGGAAATATGGCGCCCCCAGGAATTCCCCTGGCCGCACAATTATCAGAACGGAGACGGGGAGGCGACGCGACGGACGGACAGCCGGCACTGTGTTTTTTTTATTTCTTTTATAATTAAAAAATAAAAATAAACATGCAATTACTACATTGCCCTTCATTAAATTGGATTAATAGGAGTCCTTGGATTTTAATGAGGTGCAAGGGTGGAGATTCACTTAACCATGTGACTAAGGGGACCCACTTAGTCACCAGATCTTAGCCCGATCCATTTGATGAAAAGTATTAGCCTTTTATCATGTACTGTGGTTTGTAATAAAAAAACCAATTGCTAATTGCAGTAAACCTGTCGGCCCAACTCCCAGCGTCACATGAGCCCACCAACGTAACCAAAATCCTCAAGAAGGCTGGTCACTTCAAGAATTCGCGCTCCAGAAACATGAAGTCGCGCTCCAATGGAGGTTAGTTCGCGAATTATTACCGCTTTGCTGAAAATTCGCGTTTCTGCGCGCCGGAGCTGGAGCGGCAAGCCTCAAGAGGCGAATTAGGTAACATAGATCTTAACCGTTAAGATTAGACTCATTCGATTAAGTTTGGCCATGGGTCCATTTGCTACAAGGCCCAACGGCTTTAATCATTCAGGCCCGTCAATTCATTTGGCCAAAATAAAAGTTGCAGTCTCAATAGCAAAAGATTTAATAGGTAGGAGTGAAAATCGATACGGTATCGGTATTTCAATATCAAAGACCGAAATTTTGAATACTGAATAATACGCTAAGATCAATTCCAATCTCAATTTCTAAATATTTTGGTATCCCAATCGGTATTATCGAATACGAAATTAATTATCTTTGCAATTAATAATTATTATATAAATTAGATTTGATTGGTTAATTTAAGACAAAGAGACTAAGTAAACAGTCTTGAGTTTGCCTAGAGCTAGTATATGGATAAGAGAATGGAGGAGAGGTGACATCTCAAATTCTTGTCATGGGTAATCTTTAATTTAACGAATTGGAGGTTGAGAGACGACCAATACTAGTGTTTGTTTTTTGGTGTTATGAAAATAACAATAGATTAGGTGAGAGACGAGAGTGTCTTAAACTGGAAAGTCAAAATTGAGTTGGATGGGGACTTCTAAGTTGTGAAAGAATGAGGAATGACTAAAGGTTGTGTGCTATATTTCATTAATTTTCAATGTTTGGTGTTTCTCGGTATTTCGGTATATACGATCTCAATCCCGTAATCTCGAATACCGAATAGCACTCCAAAATGAATTTCAATCTCCATCCCTAAAAAATAAGTCGGTATTCGGTAATACCATATAGTGATAAATTTTGTACGGTATTCGGTATATCACAAATACCGGTATCAAACTTTCAACCCTTATTGTAGGTATCGTTTGGGTTTTTTATTTTGTATTTAAGATCT